AAAATTCTTTGATACTAAGTATTCACAGACATTAGGGGTGTCACACTTACCACTTACCATGTAAGTGGTAAGTGTTGTAATCATCAAAAAATTGCCAATATAGCGCTAATAAATGAGTATCTTAATTATTGATTATTTATTCTTGCATGGTAATCTTCACCACTTACTAGTAATAGTAAGTGAAATATGATACCCATAATTTCAACATCTCGAGTCGACTGAATCTCACGTCAGTCGAAATACTTCGAGGCAGTTTGATCTCGAAAATCGATCGGCAAATAGTTTACAAAGAAAAATTGTACAAGTGTAGCATTTAACTAAGTTCTTATATGTGACTGCTCGCGCAGTACAAAATGGTAAATGACCGTTGAGCGGATGGACCATGGCACAACCTAAAATATGACACATTCAATTTTAGTGTGCAAAAGTCAAATGGAGAATACACACCAATCTATCTGCGACAAATATCTATCCAATGAAAATGAGAAAAAAGTTATACATTTTCCACCTCGCTTTTAATTATATCAACTTTTGTTCACTAAGGTATTTGATATCTTCACCGAGCTCGGCATCGACTGATAATAACGCGATGCACCAAATACGTATACTTGATATTTTTGTAACAGAATAGCGCATACAGTTTTTTCTGTACTCAAACTATTTTAGATTCATCCAAACCGGTTTCGGATGCAATCTAAAGTCACACCGTCACCATGAAAACTTCATAGTAATCAACAGGAGTGCCTTCCTTATGCTGTTAGGTTATAATAGATTTTCGATTTCGACCACCTGGCTATGATTAGAATCTCAAGCCCTATATTATTAGATGATCACTAAGTAGTTATCTGAAAAGAAAAAACTTCGTCGAAAATTACCGTACGCTTTCAGGTGCCTGCGTGGATCGAAAAGTTTTTCGATTTTCAAGAAAACCATGCGTGTTATTCTATTTAGAATGATGCTCTGATTCTTGCTGAATAAAATTTTTTGATCACAAGTGGGCACCAAAAACTGACCTTGTCGTTTCCTTTGTGAGTGTCGATCAAGTAAGCACCATTGTAAGCCATTTTTTTATTTCGAACACGGGTGTCTGTGTTCTTGTTCCTTGGGATTTCCTTCTCTGAAGCACACGAACATTTTTGACCATACATTCACGTGTTTTTCGAGTATTTGGGATGTTTATTAGATATCGTTTTCTTGTTTGCATGCGGCAAGTCAGTATGTGTTCACCGGTATCTGGGAATGGAAGTTCACAAGTGGTTTCCATTGTCAAGAACTCAGAGCAGATTGTGGGTTCAAATTTTCAGAAATGGGAAGTACATCGCGGGTTTCTATTCTTAGCAATAGAACACAAAAATCACACCACTAACTTCAAGCATCCATTTTTTCGAATCGTCTTTCACCTTTTTTGTACAGGACAACAAGTTACAGACATATTTCAAATTATCGTGGTACTCATTAATGCAACTGCAAGGCTAGCGGTGTGGGTGCAGGTCAGTAGAATACGATCTCTTCTTGCGAGTTCTCCATAGGTCGACGTTTTTACTTTCCCATGTTTTACTTAGAACATACCAAATGAAGTAGCAGTAACAATAAAAACAGTGCTCTATTTTTTTGTGATATTTCATCATGCTTCAACTAATATCAGAATAATAAAATTTTGGTAAGAGTTGTCTGCCATGATATGTGAGGATAATGTTAGTTCATTTTGCCTTCACTTCGTGTCTTTTTCTTAATCTTGTCTTTGTTTTGTTCCTCTCTTTTCTCGGCTGCTCTAATGCTTACCTATCTATGCATATTGGAGTATACGACAATCTAAATATAGCCTTTGCTGCAGACCCATTCAGAGTGACTTGTATAATAATTACTTATCTTTCAGGTCGATTAAATTTTCAATAGACAATACAAGATGAAATATATACATTTTTAGACTTCTACATCGATCGTTTGGTTCTAAATATAATCCCCATAGATGTTTTCCAACTTTGAAATTCGTATTGGAGAGTGTCCATCCGATGAGCTTTGAAAAAAATCTAGAATTATTTGGTTTTTGAAGCTTTCGTTCTTATGATATCGAATTTTTACTAAATTTTTCAACAAACATACGTAATACTCCCAAGATCTCGCTGAAAATTTTCACAAACAATGATCATATTGTGACTAGTTCATGGTAAATGTTTCAACTTTTATCGTTGCTTTGACCGAGAGATACACATATTCAAAATTGATTTGTGTGAAAAAGCAAATTTCATGCTTATATTCGTATCTCACGACAGAAGCAACGAAAAAAGCTGAAAATTTCAGAATAAACTAGTTCTATTGAGAACATTAGTTATGCAACATTTTAAGGCAAAACTCAAAAGTCAACTTTCAACATGACCTCAGAGAGATCACGGAGTTTTGTTGAAAAATTCAGTCTAAGATCTATTTTTCAGAAATCTTACAAGTAAAATAGACTAGATAAGTACAAGTTATCATCATCAAGTTAGAAGCATAATTACATAAAATACCAAGTTATTTGCCCCTGTAATTGTACAGATTGCTCCTGACTCCATTTTTCTGCCCACTGTGCTACATCGCTTACCCACCTTGAATTCTGTAAAACCAATCATAACACATGCTTCCACTATACCATATTTGATCTTCATTCTTTCTTTTCAAATAATATCTCAATTTATTTTAATTTCTCTTTCAATGAATTTTGAGATTACCGAACAGAAAAAACATTTAGATTTATGATATGAATACATACAATCACAAAACTTAATACAACATAACATATTTCACAACAACAACAATCGATGTACTGTTTTTCTTTGCTATAGCTATAAAAGACAAAAATCATGTTTATTCAACAGGATGTCGAGCTCGAATAGCTACAATTGATGTAGCTGTTTGAATAGCGTTCTCCTGGAATATAGACGGTGCGTATTGACCAAGGATTTTTCGAATACATAATTTTATTCTCTGCAGAAATATTGAGCGAAATAGATGACTTGATAATGTATAAATGTAAAATGATTTCGCAAAGTTTGTGTAATAAAGAAGAATAGTAAAAGAAGTTAGAAATCTATCTACTAATCCTTCATATCCAGTGGCTTTTGGTTTCAAAGTGTAGTAAGCATAGGATATCATACGAGTTATTATTAATAATGAACTTAATCCTACTTGATACAGCATCATCTATATAAAGAAAAATATTTTCGACATATTATATCAATATATACTTTACGACAAAAATACGAGATAATCTGATTTTGTTTTGAATTCAAATATAAAAACATATGAATGAGATTATGTACTGATTAAAATCGTAGAGTTCGAAGTAAATCATTGCTTCTTATGGAAGATAGATGAGAAACTGTAACAAAACTGCCATGCACTATTTCTTGAACTTTCCAATAGCTAACATTTGATATAAAAACTCTAGAAAAGTTGTTATTTCAAAGATCTTCCTTAATTAACATGTGTCAAAACAAAAAATGTTTTTTTAACTGACATTTTTTTCTGCGCATGTTGGTGACAATGATATGTAGTTCAACATTAGCCCATTACTACTTCATCAACACAAACTGTCCAATACCATCTACTAAAAATAAAAGAAACATCATTAAACATTTTAACATGCTTTGGTCAACCGAATTGAATCAATAATTTGTGCTGCAAAACTAACGGACGTTTGATCTATAGAAAACGTCCGTGGTATGCGGAAAGAGAAATTATGAGGGCGATAATACAGCAATATTAAACAATTGAAAAACGACATTGAAAAAGAAATGAACCAAATTTAGTATTTCTTCATGTCACAAATGATAGATAAACTATCATTTCGATTAACATTACTTATCAATCAAGTTGGTAATCAAATAAAGGAACATTGATAAGCTGATTTGTGTTTTTTCATCTTTAAAAGTTATATTGTGATTAAAATAATAACTAATATGATAAGGAAATTTTAAAAAACAGAATGCCAGTGTCATTACAATTTCTCATCCATAGCAAAAACTATAGACCTCAAACTTTTTACTAATCTAGTATTACTGCACCAAATAAATGAACAATAGGACCAATTACGCAAATGATATTTATAGTAGTAGTAGAAATTATATCTCATGATTAAACATAAATATACTCAGCAAGACAATGTGCTCCTCTGGACGCTCTTTGTTTTTTTTTTCATTTTACATATCATTCTGTTTTCAATTACATCCATACACAATCACTTCTCTTTCCCGATTATAGCCATTAACGATTCTATGCAAATGACGCATTCAAACAAAAAACAAGATTTTATTTCGATCAGTGCAATATACATTCAAGATATCACTACCGTAGGTTTCATGTTGACAAGTCCGTGAATTCATTCTTCGAATTCGTATTAACCAAAGCTACAACAAATGAGCTGACATTTTCACATGCATACTCACTATGAAATGAATGTGTGCTGAAAATATCAGATAAACCAATATTTGCATATGTGAGCAGGAGTACACGTTGTTTTTTAATAAATAACTAGTATGTCAAACAAATTCATATCTTCACAAACTCTTATTGGCCATTTAATAGCTCATCTAGCTCTATATTTTGAGTATATGCTCGATGGAAAAGTAATTGAACACTTGGGGACGTTCCTTCGTCAGTGTCTATCAATTACTTACTATGACCAATTGCGTATCTTTTTTTCTTTCAATATATTGTGCTTGATTATAAATTGGGAGATTTCTTGTCTGCCATTGAACCGCTGTTCGTCGTTTTGTTCTTCGAATATTCATGATAGTAAGAAAGCCAAATATTAACATTGATACATGAGGAATCACACCCAACCAAAATACTACAAACATACTATCGAACATTGCATATGGACCTGGCATTGTAATACATATTGGTCGAAGTTCATACGAAAAAAGCATATGAGCACATGAAAGAAAGCTGATGACTATAACTATTGCCGTTGCACGATCAGCTATTTTTTCTTGACTAAATGAACGAAGATGAATATTGACTTAGGATGACATATATCGATCAATAGATGATAATAAAACTAAATACATAGACGCTAATGGAATTACAGTAGTTAAGTAAGAACGAAGTTTGCAATAAGCTCGATTTGTATTTTGTAGATTGCTGCCAAAATCATCATTAGCAAATCGTGTAGTAACTCCAAATGCAATTGATAAAAAATCAAATATAGTTGCACTAAGAAAATAAAGAGCACAAGAATTTTTGCGTAGTTGTGCTGCTGTAAATGTAATAAAATTAC